GGTGGCTCAGCCGAGGACCTCAGCCGAGACACACAAGAGAGGACTAAGAGCACAAGGCTGGGGAGTGGTTGAAGAGGACCTGCTCCACCGCTTCGCTTGCCTCACACTGGAGAAAGCCCTGGGACCAAACAAAACACATTTTTATTACTGAGACAAATCAAACCGCGCCTCTCCCACATGCTGGGGCAAGTCTGGGTTGGTCAGTGGTGTGAAACTGGATTTTCTGGAGAAATCCCATAGCAAACCCAAGAAACGACCCCCCAGAAATGTGAAAGGGGCTTTAGCATCACACCACTGTAGAGCTACAACCCAGCGAGAGGAGATGACAGTGATGACAAATGACACTCGCCCTCTAATTACGGCCAGACTCCCATGCAGTGAGCACTGCTGCATCATTAAGAGCAACCAGAAATACTCCCAGCTTAGTCATTAGCCGGCCTGGGCTACTCAGCGAGTGGCCGCCGTGGCCAGCTTGCCCCTGCACTCGCAGAAGGAAAGGGGGACAGAGGGAAAGGGGGGAGACGAAAACGGTTCGCAGCTATTTTTACGCATCCTTTGTCCTGCGCGGTCCAGGCCCGGGGTGAGCAGAGCATCTCCGGGGGCTTTGGAGATGCTGATGGGGGAAAATTGCATTCGGACAACATTAATCGCCTCAGCGTAAGCGCGACAGCTCACTCGGAGCCAGCGGAGCTGAAGCGGAGCACGAGATCAGGAACCCGCAGGCGCAGCTTTGCTCCGTACCCAAGGTGGGATCTGGGCATCAGCCTCGAAAAATGGCTTCAGTGGGAAGGGTGCGAGGAGAAGGGCATGGAGGCAGGGTGGGCTCTGCAAAGCCCAGGCTGAGACCTCGCACAGTGTCACAGCAACCGTGGGTGCTGCCACGAAAGCTGTGTTTGAAAGCCCATGGACCAGAAGTCTTCAGAGATGTCGTTTGACATCTTCACTAATGACGTGGAGGATGGGGCAGGGTGTGCCTTCAGCAAGTTGGCAGATGACACCAGAGTGGGAGGAGTGGCTGATGCACCAGAGTGGTGCTGCCATCCAGAGGGACCTGGAGAGGCTGGAAAGGGCTGAGAGAGCCCTGGTGAAGTTCAGTGAGGGGAAGTGCCCAGTGCTGTCTCTGGGGAGGAGCAGCCCCAGGCACCAGGACATGCTGGGGCCACCCAGCTGGAAAACAACCTGGCAGAGATGGCCCTGGGGGTCCTGGAGGACACCGAGCTGACCACGGGCCAGCAATACCCTCTCACAACAGAGAAGGCCACCAGCCTCCTGAGCTGCACCAGGCAGAGCATCGCCAGTATGATGAGGAGTAGATCCTGCCCCTCTGCTCAGCACTGGTGAGACACATCTGGGTGTTGTGTCCCATGTTGGGCTCCCCAGTATGAGAGATGTGGACAGGAGTGAGTTCAGCAAAGGCTGAGGGCCTGGAGCATCTCTCCAATTAGGAGAGGCTGAGAGCTGGGATGGTTCAGCCTGGAGACGAGATGGCTGGAGGAGATTTTATCCACATGGATAAATGTTTGATGGAGAGGGGTAAAGGAGACAAGGCCAGACTCTTCTCCAAGGTGCCAAGTGACAAGAGGCAATGGGCACGAATTGAAATATGGGGAATTCTCCTTAAACATAAGAAGATATTTTTCTGAGTGTGGTTGAACACAGGAAGAGGTTGCTCAGAGAGGTTTTGTGGAGTCTCCATCCTTGGATGTATTCAAAGCCCAACTAGACACAGCCTGGAGAAGCCTCTTCTCACTGGTCCTGCTGGACCAGGAGGTTGGAGGAGATAAGGTCCCTCCAGCCTTGGCCACTCGGAGTTTCTGCGGCTGAGAGCCCCAGCCAGACCCTATCCCTGCTCCTGCCGTGGCTCTGCTCCCCATCCTCCCCTCCATGGCATGGGATGTGTCCTGATCCTCGACAAGGTTTTTTGACACCGACTGCAGAGAAGCACTAGCTGGGAGACAAGAACAACCATTATGATTTCTTTCGGCAGATCTTCCCAGATCTAATAACCCAGACGCTTTACTGACTTTGTTATTTAACTGGAGTCGTCTTCTCTCACTTCTGCGCCGCCATGTTGGCCTCGCAGCTTTTCCAAATACACATCTACACTGAAAAGTGCCCCACGAGCATCGTTTCTTCTAACTCCTTCAATCTACCCCTCTGGTATACTCTGGGTCTGATCCAGTAACGTGACCATTTAATTGAGCAGTGCTTTTCCCCGTCCCTTGCAGAGCTGCAGTGCAGCAGGAAGGAGCTGGGCTCCATCCTGGCACCGGGACTGGGCACGGCCAGGACCAGGCATCCCCCCTGCACCCAGGGAGCATTCAGATGATGCAGAACAGTGCTCCCTGGTTGCTTTTTTGTGTTATTTCTGCCTGAGTTTAGTCCCAAAACATGGCTTTGAATTAAGATCCAAAGGCCCCGGCAATCTCTAAATGGATTTTTTTATTTCTTTAGAAGTCAAAATACTCTCTCTTGTTTTGTTCATGTCACATGGGTCCATCCATGTGAGTTTTCAGCTGGCTTTTCCCTGCTATTTTAGTTTTTGGGGCAGAAAGGTCTCACCAACTGCTCTTGAACGGATCTCTAAGCCTTGTAGCATCCTACTCCTCTACAGACTCCAGCTCTCCAAAAGCCCTTATGAGAAAACCAGGAGAAAGATGAACAAAGTACCAATGGTTTTGGGTCCTATGAAGTGGGTTGGGCTCACTTTAGGTCCTAGCCCTGCAAAGTGCCAAAGTAGCCATGTCAAAGCCCATCTGTGCTCTTCCTTCCCGAGCTGTCTTCAGGCAAAGCAGCCTGCAGCTGCTAGAAGTTTAGTCGACAGCTTCTACCTTTCCCTTCTTTTTCTGCACACTTGACAAGAAATACTACAAGAACACTATATTTTGGGTCTTTTGGTTTAATTTATTCTACAGATTATGATGAGAAACTTGAAGCAAAGTTTCATCAAGCACTTGAAGAAGGCAAATGCAAAGTTTTATCATCTCTGTTAAACTTCTTGTCTGCTGACCTGGACTCACAAATTCCAGGATGGTTTGTTTGTTTTCTCTATTTTGTTAATAAAATGTGATATAATAATGCTTTTTTTGTTGTGTTAGAGACATTTACCTTTCAAAAAAGCTGCTGTCACAATGAGCGTTGCACTGAAACACCATCGGTGTCCAGGCAGGCGGCCACGGGCTCTGCCTGAGCTCATCCGCAGACGAGGGAATTTTCCATCGGATTTAAACTTTGCAACTCAAATTAATCCCCACGGCTCTTTCTTTTCCTGTTGTTCCAGTGATTCCTTTGTATCGCTTGGCTGCCATGGAAAAAACGGTGTCAGTCACCGGGAGGCTGTTCACCCCTCTGCCAAAATCCCAGTCCCTGCATCACCTCCCCAAACAAAGTTCCCCACTTGCAGGCGCCCAAGCCAAGAATTGAGAGCAACCCATGGGAAGAGCAGGGACGGGATGGGATGGGACGGGGTAAACAAGTGAGTCACGGTAACCTCCTGGCCTCAGCCCTGATGGGTCACAGCCACGAGGCTCCTGGCACTGGGCTGTGGGGCTGCCCCTCCAGCCCCCACAACTGTCTTTCCCCCAAACCCCTTTTGCTGAGTGTTTTTGGGGTGCTCGGGAGGCAGAAGCCCCTTCCAGCTCTCTTTTTCCAGCATGAGGCATGGGGAAAAAAATCAAAATATTGAAACAGAGGAGTCCCATGGCTGCAGGAGGTTCATTGCTAGTCGGTTTTTGGTGATTTGAGAGAGATTTGATATGTATGTGTAAGGAATCACACCGCAGCCACGGGAGCATCCCCCAGAGCCCAGCGGGGATGCGCCCGGCTGGTGGCATCGAGCATCCCTGGTCTGACGCCTGCGAACTGCCCCGCAGCGCGGCCAAAGAGGGGTGTGAGTGCAGAGGTCCTGGCTCTTTCCATCAGCCCTGCCAGGGATGCGCCCGGCTGGTGGTATCGAGCATCCCTGGTCTGATGCCTGCGAACTGCCCCACGGCGCGGCCAAAGAGGGGTGTGAGCACAGAGGTCCTGGCTCTTTCCATCAGCCCTGCCCAAACGCTGGGTGCGGGAAGATGCTGCCTTGCTCTGCTCCGGGTGTTATAATTCAGGCTCCTCTCAAGGAACACCAATCGATGGCCTCTGCTCAGGGTCTCTTTCCACTGCAGAGTTGAACATGAAATCCAGCCCCCTCCCTCTTCTCCTCCAGCCCTCTCCTCCAGGAGAAATCACATCCTATGTTGGGAACCAGCTTGCGACCAGCTCGCTCAGCCAAGGGCTGCGAGCGCTCTTGACCAGAGGGGTGGTGGCTGAGCCAGCACCAGATGTGCTGGCGTGTGGCCAGATGTGCTGGTGTCCACAACGAGATGATCAAAAGCATCGGAGGAGCCCAAGGAAGAGTTAACCCCATGCCTGCAACAACCGCAACACCTAGGGTTGACGTTCCTCCACAACCCAAGTGGAACTCCAAAATCTTTCAGAAAAAAAATGTCATTTTTCCCAGGACTGATTCCTTTTCCCTCAGAAAGGAGTTTGATGGAAAATTGTCACCCAACAGGTACCTGACCAGCTGCGTGTGCCCTGTTCCTGGGCTCCCTCGCTTTCCGTTTACAGGAACGTCCCCTTCTGGGTCACTGCACTGGTGAGCAAAGCAGTGACAAAACCAGTAATGACGTGGTGGTGACACACGAGGTTTCACCAGGACGGTGACATCTTCTTCCGTCACATGTCACCAAAAGGCACCACTGGGCAAAAAATGAGTCAGCGATGCGGGGCAGGGAGAGCCCCCCTCTCCCCCGGCACATCTGCCGTGTGTTGCAATGCTCCCAGCGCCTCGCGTCGGGTCTTTGAGACCCGTGTTACAACACGGCAGGGCCAGGTGGAACCACCGTTTCTGTGTCATTGACCGCCCGGGTTGTGTCAGCAAGAGGTGCAGGAGACCGCCCCGGGCGTGTGGGAAGGGCTGTGCCGATATAGAGCCCCAGGAAAGGCAGGGGTGGCGGGTTTCAGCTCCTCTCTGCTCAACACTCTGTTGTGATTTTCTCCCTGGACAAGGAATTTCTTTTTTTTTTTTTCCCTGCTTGGCAGCACGGGGATGAGGGTGGATGCTGGATCGGTCGGGGTGCTCCTTATCCTCCTCCTCCTCTCCATCCTGTGGTTCCTGGTCTGGAGAAGTGATAAGAAGAGAAGGCAGCTGCCTCCGGGACCGACCCCATGGCCCATTCTGGGCAACCTATGGCAAAAGGACGTCCTGCCCCTCTACAAGACGTACGAGAAGGTAAGAGAGGAGCTGGCAGTGCTGGATCCACTCCCAGCCCTGGCAGGGCAGTGGGAGAGAAAGCGCTGAATGTCCCATGCCAAAATAAAAAGGGGAATCACGCAGGAGGATCTTTTCTCACCTTTCTTTTCTCTCTTTTCCTTCCCTCCTCTCTTCCTCTGCCAGAATTGCCTAAATCCCTACTAATAATCAATAATGAATAATCAATAATCAATACTGTTATTGAAGTCTTTCTCCTCCCGTAAGGGACCCATGGTGCTGACACCAACCCCTCTGCTGCCGTCCATTCCTG